GGCTTAACACTTCGCAATTGACTTCGGGTAACATGATTTGGCTCCATAGTTAAATTTGTAGAACATCTCAGGTTTGAATCCCTGACTTGTTTTTCCAAGTTTGTAAAATCTCGGAAGAATGATCACGGATACACGGCGACAAGAGCTACTCAACGATCACCGCGTATGGTGCAATATCTTCAGAATTTCTGTGTGAATGTATTCAAGGATTTTATTAATATAAGCTGCGTTAGAGGTAAATTCTGCCGCTCGAATCTGTACTTAAAGAAACTCTTCAATCCCAAGAAACTTTTTTCAATCCATCCTTGAAAGAAACAAAGATAAATCAAAGGAATTTTGTGTACAAGGCTGCCTACAGCGTTTGATAACAATAAATTTTCAAAAATACTTAATTGTGAAGATCATTCTCGGGCATTCTTTTAGTAATTTACGAATTGCTTCTTATTTTATCCTTCCCTTTCTTCTTTCCTCCATCAGGCGGCCGGGTTATCCCCCAGTATGGAACAAATTGAAATGCTCGCTCAACATCTACCGGATGCAAGTCTCTTGAAGTTATACGTAAGTCCATGTTGTGTCTAAAGTTATGCGAGAGTGCCTTGGTTTTATTTTCCATCTCTTTGTTGTTGTGAGAAATTCGCGCCAGTCTCTCACCAAGTACCGCGCGCCTTGTCGCCCGCGTTTTCCCGCGCTTCAGGCGATTTACGTACACGTCTATTTACGTTTAGCTCTTCTTAGCTTCCTGTGTTATTTTCCTTCGCTCTTATTGGTTTGGTTTTACGAAAGGTAATTAAAATGCGGAAGTTTTAGCGAGAAGATGTGCAGACTTTGATTGAAGGTGATCCTTAAATCAATAAATGGTTTGAACCCGCGGGTAACATTTGATCACGTGGTCTGATCTCACTTTCGCTCTGGTTATCGAAACTTCAGTCACCGCTTCCGATGAGAGTCGTTCCCAGGACTACACTTACGCGGACGATCAGGCTACACGATCCAATGGTCCATAAACGTGACGCAACGTATTCGAATGTTAACTTTCAGCCGTTGCCCTTAAATTTTGGTTGAAAAGTTGCAGAATACTCGTTATTGTTTAACATAGTTTGTTCTTTAATTCTGAATTAAATACGTAAAGTTTGTCAATATCTTAGGAAACGTTTGAAAGAGTGGTTCAACTGGATGGTGCAAACTACTTCATGTGCGACCTCGCAGATGTCAAGGTTTGTTTGCTGTGTTAAAATGTGCAACAGTTATTAGGATTCAGTTAAATGGCCTCAGTTCTGTGTGAGATCTGCTATTAGTCCAAAATTTATTCCAGTACAGCAACCCATCACGTCAAACACAAGACCCATCGTTCCCTTAGTTTCAAATGAGCAGAGAATTGGGACGAGGCTTGTTGAATGGTTGAGAAAGCGTATACTCGTATTTTTCTGAGAAGTTTAATCTTTGTTGTTTACATTTATTTTGTTTTTGTGTTGTTTTCCTTTTTGATTATTTATTTTATAGATTTTAGCAAGAAAACTAGGAGGAATTCCTTTGTCGATAAGTGATCAATTTGTATTCAGCAGAGCGCCAATCAGTGTGAAAAAATCGGTCACCGTAGATCTCGCTATAAAGGTACGAGGATTTTTTGTCGCATTCCAAAAATTCCTCGGCAGAAGTGTTTTATAAGTTGTATTCAGGGAAGAACAGAGGAGGCAAACATAACTACAACACAGAATTCCTCAATTGCTGAAGTCAACTTTAACCCTCCAACTCCCAAAAGTGTATGTATAAACATGTATCCTCCCCATAATGTCGCTATATTATCCAGCAAACAGGTAATGACAATACGCAAACTCATCCCCGTCATTGGCAGTTAGTTGGCAATCAATTTTCTACAGCCCACTCCCCCCCCTTTTTACTCTGTTAGCGACGACTGATACCCCCCCTCCTTTTCCACTAAAACCATGTGACCTCACAAAAATCCTCCATTCCCGACCCCCCCCTCCCTCCCTTCCCGCGATAAATCATAACTGGTCCATTAACTGAATGGTCACACACGGATGTTCTTCTTTAATTTTTTTCGCTTATTAATTTTTAGTTAAAAGTTACGACTTTATTCACTACAAAAGCCAGCATTTCATGAAAGCTCTTCCGTGTCTCCTAATATCAAACCTCTTTGGTATCTACCATGCTTCCTTCAATGCTAGTTGCTAAGGAATACTATCTTCATGATGGAAGTAAAGTAATTCCCATTTATTCCTATCAGTTTGCAGAATGTGTGAGTGCAGATTCCCCGATAACAGCTTCAAAGCTCAAAACGTTTTTAAAATGGCCGCCCCAAGCTCCCAGGACGCTGGAACAACTAAAGAATTTAGAGACGTTACATGAAGGACTTGATCTATATCTTTGGCTCAGGTAGGGTTATCATGAAAGAATCGAGACTAAGGTTAACACTTACGAGTCTCCTCTACTCCGCAATTCACTGATTTCTCTAAGTTAAGTTATACCCTGGAAACCAGATATTTTGACTCTAAAAATATCTTTAGAGGGAGGGAGAGGGATAGTTTGTTTTGAGGGCTCCAGTCTCTTAGGTTCATCTTCTCCCTTTGCAGTGCGCTGTAAGACCTTTTCATTTGATACTGTAGTCTGATCACTCGAGCAAGCCTGAGAAGGCATGTTGTCAGTGGTAGTGACTGACTTTTTAGCAACCTGAGCATACTTTATCACGAGGGTCAAGCCACCTGTCTCTGATGATGACTTTCAAGCAGGTTATCTCTTGCTTGATCTGGGTTCAAACCATTTACTCGGAGATCTTTAAAGTTTATTCTACCAAGTGAGGGCCTTTTGAGACTCAATACTGCGGCTTGGTCCTTTCTGTTGAAAATCCCTCATTGTTCTTTTTCTCTTTTTTCCTCGCAGTTACCGTTATCCTCAAATATTTGTAGATCAGCAAAATGTATGCAACATGCAGGATGACGTAGAAGCTATTATTGGTGATACAGTGTCGTCCAGTTCATTCGGTGGATCCTCGATCACCTTGCCGTCACGAAGAAGACGTTCGAAAGCAAGGTTCGGCGATAAAAACCTGATAAAGTGGATGAATTATCACAAATTTTGAGGTTATATATTCGATTATTTCATTTTAGTTCCTGGCAGAATTATATGTAAATGTGTATGTATGTATGTATATATAAATTTTTTCGGTTTCGCGATGGCATTCGCTAAATCATGGTTTCATCATCATCATCGCTCGTTGCGCCAACGTGACGGCCTAGGCACATTAGGCCATCACGTTGTCCGCCCAACCCCCCCTGTGGCGTGCCGCCGCCATGGCTACAATGCAGCTCTTCCATCCCGCCTTGCCTCTCTCGCTTTCGACAGTCCTTCTCCACGTGGTCTTTGGTCTCCCTCTCGCCCTTCTCTGGCTTCGATCTTCTGGTCTGGTCTGACTTTTTTAGTCTATACCACACAGAAACCAAAAAGAAGTTTATTTCAATCAAAACAACGAAAAAAATAGTCGTAAATTAAACTCTCGACGCGCGATTTTGTATTTTCGGCTGCTCTGATGTGAGTAGTACTTGCCGTTCACTTTCGACCTAGCCAATTAGCGCGCACAGAAAGCACCATTCACCTGTGTGGTATATTCTACCTTAAGATATTTCATGCACTGAAGACAAATTTTCTCCGACCATGATGAATTAAATGATGTGAAAGAATTATGAATTACTAGTTCAAATTCAATCCTACTGAAGACCCAAATTTTCCAAATAAAAAATATAAGTATATATTTTTTATAAACATTTTGCTAACAGAACTATTGCGTATTTTATTTAATTTTGCAGAGGCTCTATAGTTAAAATAACAAGAGTTTCGTCGCCTGCACACAAGTTCTAAAATCTTGAAGAAGTACTTCCCACGCTCACGCTTCCTCTCTCCAAAAGGGAGAGTTCACCAAAATTAAAGACCAAGATTTGACTCAAGATGTACGTCGTCGAATTGTCGTGTCAGCTGGGCCAGTTCTCTTATGGTCTACGTGTGCTGTGAAATCGTAATTTTTAGATGGGTTTCCAGATATTTGGAACTTCTGTGTTACGCACCTTCCAACAGCTCTACATAAAAACTCTATTGTGTGGAATGTTGATTTTTCAGAGTTAAATGTGACTTCATGAATAAACAAGTTTGTAAGAAGCCGACAATTTTCAGTTTCCATAATAATTTGTAACATTTGTTTTAATTTTCCGTGAATGAATACTCTAACAATAAAACATGATTTATACGTTTAGATTGGTCAAGAGGAGTCTGCTGATACCCAATTTAACATTTCCACCGATCCTTAAAACAAAGAATATAACAAATGTTCAAAGATTCTATCCCCTGGGAAAAAAACTGCGAAAGAACACATTTGATCGAGTGTGTTATCAAGCAACACTAAAACTTCAAGTTGTGCAGTTCATATGTGGCTGAGTTAAGAAAAAAATCCTTGATTTAAAGCGGAAAGAAATGTACCCATCTGGGCCACAATTTGGATTCAATTTGCATAACTATCAAAACAGCAAGCGTACTTTAAGTGACACACACTCGTTTTGTTTGGCATCGTGTAACAGCTGAAGGAGTGAATCACGTATTATAACATCAAGGACGAGAAGGTCACAGGACCAATCCCTTCAGGGGTGGGATAAGTACATTTATATCTTTTGGCACTACAGAAAATAAGACATTCAATCCTGCATACCATTACTTCTATAATTCATGAAAGTGTTAATGTCTTTTCTAAAATGCAACAAGTACTCAGTTCCAGCAGGAATTTTTTCTGAGGTCCTGCCTTCTATTCTAGTTCTTTTTACCTGTGGGATTCATCTCTGTTCTCTGATTTGGTTTCTTTTGTCTTTCAATAGTTTTTTTAATTGTGTTTTAATCTGAGAAAAGGTAAAGGTTTTAAGAGGTGCGCCTATTTGTCTGCCCTTCTTTGTTCGCCTCCTTGCTCGATAGGTCTGGGAACTAGCAACCAGGGGAATGCCTCGAGCCTTTATTCCACCTGCTCACGCTGCATCATCTTCGACGAACTCTATTGCCGAATTTCACATCGAATCGCTCCAGATCTACTTTTCTAAGGCTGTCTGACGCTAAAAATGTTTTCTCGAGATCCATCAGTGAGCATTAAAGCCAGTGCCTCCTCCTTGTGCAACAATCTTACGGTTTTATCATCGAAGGAGAAGCAGTCGTTAACTTATGGCGTCGTTCATAAGGCATTTGTTTGTATCACCACCGTTACTAAGGGGACTGTCGTCAACCAGAAACAAGTCTCTTGTAAAGGAGAAGGAGCTCATAGTAGCTCTGCTGTGTTGCAGGTATTTCTTTGCTTTGCTAATTGTTACACCAAGCGGGGTAATGGTTGAATTCACATTCAATGTAATTTTATGATCAGCTTGTTTACATTAGCAAGCTTCTTTAGCCATGACCTGAGCATGACTCGGATCGACTTTACTTATGCTGGACATACAGTACACAGTAAAATATATGGTAACAATTTGACAATTAAACGTACATGAAAACTGAAAGTGCCTCTAGATCGGTGAAAAGTTAGCTCAGGTGTTCGTTCTTCTTTGCATTTAGACCTGAAAATCAATTTACAAATTTAAGATTATAAGTCTTTTAGGAGCTGGACAAGAGTTGGGTGACTTATGGTTTGAACTGAGAATTATGTTGTAACATTTGAACCATTTAATTGTCAGTAGCATAAACACATTTTCAACAATCTCCAGCATCTTAGTTTACATGTTATTGTCAATTACCTGATTGGCTGAATTATTCATGCATTTTGATTGGTTGTTACATAGGTCATAAATCTATTAAGAGGACAGATGCATGGGTGATGTCACCATTGACAACATTTGAATTTTTTTATACATGAAACAAATAGATTTGTTGTTGCTGTGGGTCTGTACAGTAATTTATCACAGAAGACATCAAATTAATGTGGCAAGAACATCAGTGACACACTTGGCTGCACCTCATATGCCACTTTTTGTTTTTACCACATTTTGACATTATCTGTGATATATCACAGTCATCAAACAGATGCATGACAACATGGAATCTATTTGCTAGGAGCAGTACAGGGAGTCTTATTTCTTCACTGAGTTAATTTGTCATGTTTTGGATGATGACAAGTCACATTACTGACCCAATTGCAAATTCTGTCAGATGAACACAAGTCCCGTAATTTCATCTTGAACATTTCAAACTGTTGTTATCCTGAATACATTCTGTGGTCCAAAATAATTTCAGACAACAACATTCTGTTATGTTCTGATTTTAAAATCACTTCTTACTGATGATAATTAACTTTTCAGGCAAAGTGGTGTGAACTTCCAGACAGAACTGTCCTGGTTATTACCTCTGTTAAGGGTGCCCAGGTACTTTTTTCTTCTTTACTTTATGAAATTTTTTTTTTAGTGCATTGAGAGCGGTAGTTACCCAACATTTAGCAAGCTGGACTCCTTGTAAATCTCTCTGTGTGCTGAATCTTCTATTCAGCATAACATGTGAGGCAGGGTTAAGTTACAAATAGAAAGGCCATGTTCTCATTAGTATCGCCAATTAAAGCTTGATTAAAGTCCCTATTGACAGGCATTAGCAAACTTCACAGAAATCTTACAAAATGCTGCGGGGTTGGGGTGACTTGTGATGAAGTAGCATACAGTTCAGGGGATGTATCAAAACTACCACAGTAGTTGCTTCTTGGTATAAAACTGAGACTTGGATAGGTTTTTTCAGAAAGGGAAGGGTTGTTCTCTCTTGGGAGATAACTAACACCTTATGATAAGTGGCACTTTTTTTTTTTTTTTGCTGTGCACTAGTTCCCATGACATACATCCACTGATTTACTAGTTCTTGTTGGAATGGTTTATGATTTAGATGTTTGAAACTGATGGATCTATAATGATATTCTGGCAAGCACTTGGTGAATCAAAGGAAGGAGGTATGCTTTGTGTGTATTTTTCTAAATCATACATACCTGACTTACTAACCTTGTTTTGTCGGCCTGTTCTGTAAGTTACAGTTATAAGTCTGTAAGTTGTTTCTGTTCAGATTTGTGACCATGAATTCTTTTCTAAAATGGAGTCCAATTTGGAGACCTTTGTATCACATACCAAACTAAATCACACCCATACTCCCAAACTGTAAGTCATAATGAGTATAGTACATTTATTAATCAATACAAGACTTATTATTTATTTTTCTTATATAATTCAGTCTATTCCCATTTTGCAAGAGGAATATCGGCAGTAGGGGACAAGTATATTTGCGTAGGTGAGTGGAACTACAAGACAGATCTTTAGGATGTGTTTGTTTTAGTTTTGAACCTCTCACTCCAGTTTTAACCATCTGCTCTTATGTATGTTGGCAAATCACCCTCTAAGTGTCTGTTATGTAATCTGGTAAAGAAAGTATAAAATTAGTAATAGTTTTCACGTTGTTGAGTCCTTGACAGAGTTGTCTATCTGCCCTTACATGAAGTGTCTGCCTTCAGAGGGTGTACCTCATACAAGGGTGTTGGCATATGAGAAGTGTCCGCATACAGAATTGCTCACCTTGCAGAGAATCGTCAATGTTTCAGAAGTGTTTTCCCCTTTAATATTTTTACCCACATATGGTGGTGTACATGGAGCTCTCTGTCCACATAGGTGTGCTTGCTCAAATTTGTTACACCCAGCAAGTTTGTTATTTTAGGTACTTCTGAGGGTGGTATCATGGTGTTTGACATTCCCCCACGTGGCACAGCTGTTAAACTACAGGAGACACTTACCTCACACAAGACAGCCATTTGTG